GTCATGATAGATGAGTGCGAATTGACACTGTCATACTACTTCTCACACTAACGCCGTTAATCGGACGAAAGTAGAAATTATGTGCCTTCGCCGCCGACTGCCAATGATTGGCACAACAGACAACAGATTCTTCGAAAAAACGTCGTTGATTACACTTTTCCACTATACGATTTTTCAGGAAATAGCTATCTGTAGCGTCAAAGAGCGAATGACTTCTACAATCTGAGGTCGAACGCCATAAAATTCATTAACATGCGATCAGTATAATTCCATGGAAAGACACCCATCATTCCAAGTCCATGATTGTGTGCTATTTTCATTAGAAACTAATAAATTCTAACTGAGAAGCAAGCAGAATGGGTTGAAAAGATGAAGTCGGCATAAGAACGGTAATCGGCCCACTAACAGTAACCCCTCTAATCGGTTCCAACCTTATCAGAATCACATCCGATTATCATATTCGATGATTTCGACCCTTCCGACCGCTTTCACTCGAATATATTCGACTTAATTTACTTGAGCCAAGCAACAGTTAGCACCAACAGTATGACTGTAAAATCAACATTTTTCAGTAACCATACTACAAAATACAATCATATCTAAGATAGAGTTTTAAGTTGAGATCAATAAAATTTTAGAGATTCACAAATCTGGAAAGTAATGCAACTGAACCAATAGGCCATTCTCGCTTGATCATCAGTGTAAGTTTCATCACATTTGCAAGCAAAGCAGTTCGTCGTGCAATCTATGAACAAAGAGAAATGTCCACTTTTGAGAAATTCAATGCCGACATTTAAATGCCGGTTGCAAATGCAACCTAAGGACATATTCAGGATCAGCGAAATCTGTTCTATCCAACACCATGCAAAAACTTCATCTTGTGCACTTATTTTAAAAAATAATAGAAACGTTTCTGGGAAAAACTTTTCTGAATATTATAACGTTTCTAAATATTGAGAAAGTTTTCTGAAGGGTTTTCCAGAGACCGGATCTCTGGAAAACACCTTAGAAAATTTTTTCAAAACCCATCACTGATGCCATTAGAAAGAGGATCGTCAAAAACCTATAAAAAAATGATTCAGGAAATTTTGGTTCACTCATAATTAAAGTCCGCCTGCTCTAGCAAAAAATGCCCACTATGCTACACGCTCTAAAGCAGTAGCAAAAGTTTGTTCTCAAAGTTTCAATACAAGGGTGAAATAGCAATTTTGGTCTTCTACCATCTGAACAAAATTTGAAATACGAGCAAGATAAGAATTGATTGGCACTGATTTTACGAGATGAATGAAAATAACACTTATCCTGTATGTAATGCCATCAGTCACCATCTTATTCAAATTCAAACATAAATGATATACATTGCTCATGATTATTGCGTCATCGACAACTGCGGGTGATGTCGAACACGCCATTTTATTGAATTTTTCAGGATAATAGAAATATTCTTTATCAAAAGAACTTTATTAAAATTTTAATGAAAGTTTCCGTGTGTTTTTCATTAAGATTTTCATTAAAATTTTTAATGAAATTTTTGTGCCGTCAAAAAACTTTAGTGAAATTCTCGTGTTATGAAAACTTTTAATGAAACTGTCACAGTCACCTTGCAGCGGTCATTTTAATGAAAGTTAGATGAACAGAATATAAGTTAAACACCCGAAAATAGGTATATGTTTAAGCACGAAAAAATGATGTATATATCGCGTAGCGATACATGTAGGAAGTAAAACAGGTATCTTTTGCTAAGTACAGAACGATACTTTCTTCTATCTCATCAAAGCTGTTTTCAACCGAGTAACAATATTTTTTATTGTAACAAAATGCATTATATACACACCTTAGCTATGTAAAGGTAAAGTTTTTTTGCTTCTTTTAGAAAATTCATTACTCCTGATAATTTATCTAGTGCATTAAATATTTCTCTACAAAATGAGACGTGTCTCGACTTTGGACAATGAGTTCTTACAAAAATACAATGGTTTTAAGGACTCGAGACTTTTAAGGACCTCCAATAACCGAATGAGTTGTCAATTATGAATCTCCACATCCTTTTGGTAGAACATGTTTGTTCGATAGGAAACCAAACGATGGATCACAGACTTCTCCAATTCCATTCTGTAATTCACAGCAATGATCATGGATATCATTAAAATGGCAGTGACCATCATAAATTGGAATTTAAGGATTGATATGTGCGGGTACATCAGCATCAGTCATTAAAAATACTGTTTAAACGTACATTATACGGTGATTTTCTGATAACTTCTGTTTTACTCATATTTCCAGAATTTGTAAAAGTGGCTTAGTGCAAATGATTAAGTAAGCAGTCTACATATATCGTGTATCGGTATTTGATAAATCACGTGAATCGCAGCGATTCGTGCAGTCTCTTGACTGTAAGTCTGTCAGCTATAGTGCGGTGGGTATAATACGTTTTTATAGTAATGTTGCGTTCTAGTGAGGGAACTACACTGATAATCTTGCGTAGTTCCACCATACTAAAGCTACATTCTACGTCATCTCTTGGTAAATGCAGTCTTCACAATACCAGTTTCATACGTGGACAGTAAGTAGATAGGTTAGCGCTATTGATCACTGTTAATAAGAATGAAGAGTTCGTTCTGTGATTCTTATGCAAATGTTGAATATACCTGAAGTCTTCCAAATCAGCATAGCATATCGAAGAAGCAGATATGCACGTGTCATGATGACGTGAAAAGGAAACAGAAAGAACAATTTTCTCATAATCTCTGCTGCCCATAGTCTTTTATGCGCCGCTCATCATGGACTACCAAATGTAGGATTTGTCTCAGTAGTTCGCGAAGAGCTTTTACAGGTGGAAGGATAGACTGATTGTTTGTCACAAAACTGTAGTGAAAGAAAGCGAAAGGAAAGAAACAACCATTAACTAATACAAAATTATCATTTACTACTCATTTTTAAAGTTTAGTCAGACTGATCTGTAGCGTATATATTACAGCCCACAATATTAATCGTTGCAACACAGCTGACCTTTGAGTAAGTTCTGGAAACAGAACGATTGTTTCACCGCTCAATTTCTAAATAGTACGGTCATGATTGTCTTGTCCATGAAGAACTTCATTTTTCTTTTTCAACAATAAAAGAGTTTTTGACTCGTTGTAATTCTTTAGAAATTGCGATTTTCAAAAAACAGGAAACATAATCCATCATTAGAGCTCTCTGGAAACCTCGAAGCTCGAAAAGATAAAGATTATCGCTTTTGTTTTGCTGACCGATGTATAAATAAGTAATTTAGAAAATTTTATTGTCATTTATCTTAACGATCAAAGTGTTGTCGATATTGATACTGAGACAGTATTAAAAACACGTCAACTTATTAATACTATCAGTGTTACATGGAAACAAAATTTTTTTATAACTTTGAAAGACGCAACATGAGCCGAACTCCTTTTTACGGTTTTTATTAACACTCTTTCCTGTATCGATCCGTATAATATCATTGAGAGCGGATGTGTAAATATGGTGCGGGTTCCTTCATAATTATAGGACAGTATCGAAAATACCGACTTATTGTTTCAGAAATATCTTTTCATAGATTCTACTAAATTTTAGCTAAAAGCGTGTACTAACACAATTAGCATTAGTCAAGAACCGGATAGATGGTATAGTTAGGGAAAGATTTGTGTAGGAAAGTGTTTGGATTAAAGCATTGCTTTAATGTTATCATTATACACTAGCTAATGCTAATATTTCGGAGGCACTCAGTGCACGTCTATAAGCATATAATTCATCAACGGATCCTTGAAAACCATAGGATGGTATAAAACCATTACCATTACCCGTTCCTATTTGAATAGTTTGAAGATTATAGTTAAAATAGTACGTAGAAATGCCCGTTAATGTACCATGTGATACACCATTAACATATAAAGTAAAACCATTTGTTGTGCTAAATGTGCAGGCAACATGCGTCCAAGTATTAACTACTACAAAAGAACCGAATATAGTCAGCCAAACGTTTGCAGGAGATGACTGTAGGATTTGGGCAGCGGTTTGACCGCTATAAGTCAAGCCAAGCATTGGATATCCCTGAGTACTATACAGAAAATTACCGCCATTTATCGATGAAGGATAGACCCATATGGCAAATGTTAACGACCGACTAGAAGGCCAATTAACCCCCGGAAAACAGTATATTTGCATATAACTTGAACTAGATGTCAAGCGAATGGCCTGTCCTACATGTCCAGATGCAGGTACTAAATTGTTCGTAGTTGTTGCATTTAAACCATTTGGACCCTTGTCATAGTAGGGATTTGGTTGATCAAATGAATAATAGAATACTAGCAGTGCATCATCTGATATTTCTGCTGAGCTTTTAGCTCGTGACGTCAGTTGCGCATTATCAATCCAACCGTAGTAATAATTTGATGATAAAAGTGGTGAATAACCAAAATACATAGATCCATTGGTCCCAAGATAAGGTGTTGTTACATTGGAGCGAATTGCATCTTGAACGCCATTGAGGTAAATAATTTGTTGAGAAGTTTGATAGTTATAGACAAAGGCGACATGATACCATGTGGACGTAGACAACGTTGTTACCGCTGATAAATCATTGAAATTAAAACCCATATACAATTTACTATTTCGAATAATTAAAAATAAACATTGACTTGTGCAAGTAGTGCATGTACATTGACTAAATATGGGTGCATCATTCGCCACAGTGTGAAGATAAATCCATGCTTCAAAAGTGAAGCTTTGAGAGTTTAAATTAAAATAGGATGAGGCTGGTACTTGTATATAACTATTTGTACCGTATACGTAGAAATATGTGCCACCATAGAATCCTGATGTGCCAAATTGCCATGAACTACCGCTAGTTGTTCCACTATAATTACCGTATAAATCATTTCCATTATTTTCAAAATTCCAATAAGCAAGAAACACCGATGTGGCTGTTGTCGTATTCGTTACCGTTGACGACTCTGCAGTTTACAAAGAAATAATGTGGCAGATAATTTGTTCGATGTGGATGCTTACTTTTGCTAAAGATGACTGCTATTGGTATAACAATGACTGCAATTACCACTAAGCCTGCTATAAATCCTCCGCCAATTAAAACGTTTTTTGTCATCCATTCTGGACGCGTTAATTTGAAACTAAAAATCGCAAAATAAAACTCACAACAGAGAAACAGTAAGTTGCTGTTATTCATATTTACCTGTTTTTACTGTTCGGTTTTCGAACGATGTTTGATTTTTGTGTTACTGTTCTTGTACTAATGGAAGATAGCGTCTCCTAAATAAGAACACATAAGGGAAAAAAGAGACCATATAATTCGAATACTTTTTGCGCAATTAGAGCCCTCAGTATATTCTAGCTGTACGCGGTTGTCAAAACTATCTCAAATTATTTGCGAATAGCAGCTAGATTATAACAATCATTTTCTATGCAAATTTTTTGTGATAACTCGCTGCTGTCTGTGTTTGTGTTAGACAAATTCTCTGTAAACCGCCTTCACAACGTGACGGAGTGATTTGCTTACTGTTTAGCGCTCATTTTTTGAAACTGTTAAATTCGTGTTGATTTTTCTTTTTGTTGTTATTATTCACTAAACAGAAGACAGCATTTCGACGTTTTCCACGCCTTCTTCAGGTCTAACAAAAAACTTAAAACAGACTATGCCTCAAACAAAATTCTAAAAATGGAATTAAATTAATTTAATTTAAAACTATGTAGGAGCTATAAAATATAACATAACAATTACAACCAAGAACTGAAAACTAAACATGTTTTGGACTCAGACAGACATCATACTACAGTTCAGAATATTTTTTTTCTCCTGTTTTCTTAGTGAATATTGCGATATTTTTTTCTTGTCTGTACTCCACAACCTTATTCTCAGCTGTTTTACTGTTATTTTTCTTTTCTTTCTTCCTTTATATACTTACTCAGCTATCTTCTCTACACCACTTTTCTATTGTTGGTCTCATTGGTGATTTATAATTATAACAGATTACCAGTGAGAGTTTCTCTATCTCCACTGCTGGCTGACCTAATTATGAATAACATTGTTGGCGAACATTGGAACGATAACTCGTTCCACCAACATGAAATGTTAAACTATTAAGTGGACAAGATAATTTTAGTATTGAAACCAAGCAAAAGAAAAGATATGTGAATCAATGCTAAACTTAAATAAAACAGAAGAAAATATTAGACGCACCAAATGTAAAATTCCCACACCATTTATTTTTGGCTTAATTATACATCAATCGATAGAGCTCGAAGAACTGATCAAGAATATTTACATTTTAGCTTTGAGGAATTAGTTTCTGAATGGAAAATCTTCAAAATCCTAGAAGGATCTAAAATTTCGAAAAAGCCTTCAGTTTCAAAAAGATGCAAGCTATTTTCTTTTTCATTCTTCTAACCTTTGGAAAGTATTTTTTTGAGATTCAGCATTAAAACCTAGTATGAGAATGGTGCTTGATCGAGGTTGAAGTCAAAAGTCTATCCAATATGAAGGTGCGCTTATCTTGATAAAGTACATGTTTTCTTTTCAAATATTGTAATATAACCGTTATTCTGAACTCAATAAAAAAATAACTATGCGTAGAAATGACATATCCTACAGAAATTGCTGGAATACAAATGAGAATTACAGAAGTTGATTCGTGACGATATGATTAATTCAGCTTGTAAAAGCATGATGGCAAATTTATGGGTGTCAGATGACTCTGTTTATTACTGCTTTATTATACGTCACTCCCTCAATCGTGATTCTATTGAAGTATTTCAAATTAATCTAATTGATTTGACACTTAAAACCGTCGTTATTTTTAATGCCGTTTAGGTATGAGACAAATCGAGCGGTCGATGTACAAGCGAAACAGACGAATCGCGCTCGTAGAACGACCGCGCCCGGTGTCCGAGCGCTCGTATAGCATTCCTAATTTAAATAAATTCTCTATATTTTTGCACAAAAAATGTTTAAATAATTGTTTACTTGCTGTGTAAACAGCTGGTCACTTATTATGTAAACAAAGAAATATCTTGTATAAAAAGAATATTGCAGTGCACTGGGGCTCGAGCACGTTCATGTTTTCTCCGCTCAAGCGACGAGCACTCGATTCGTCCCATAGCGAATGCCGTTTCCTTCCAAAGACTTTTTTCTTTCCAAATCAAAATATTTGGATAGTAAAAACAAGAAAAATAAAATGAAAACGTTATTAGTATTCTCTGAACGAAGTACAAAAAAGTATATCTTTTCTACTTACATTTTTGCTTGTGCTGTTGCTAAGAAACGAATTACTATATGATTGTTGTAACGGAGTTTGCCCAGGTATATAAGCAATTTTTGGCATACTGAAATTTGGCAACAAAAAACTAGTTTTAGACACGCGGATCTAAAACCCAAGCAGGCTCAACTGTTAGCGTATTAATTTGTTTTATTTAATATCTCTCTGAAGTCTCAACCAACTTTCCGTAAAAAACATAAAGATATCGTCACAGTTGACATCTTAAAAATATTTTTTTAATACTTTCTAATTTTCCATCAGAATTTTTCTTATAGAGATTCTATGGCAAACGCGATGTTGTTTTCAAAATTACCCAGTCAGTCATAGTCATTCCAGAAAAGCGCAGGAAACTCTATTTACAAAAAATTTTATGCGTTTAGCGAGTTTTGAATAATAACGTGCAAGAAGCTGAGAGTGTGTAAAAATAAAGAGCAGTAAACGCACGTTGCCGTGGAAATAAAGGCTTTACACGCGTGTTCCTGCGCTTTATTTTTACACGCTCTCAGCTTCTTGCGTGTTATTATTCGAAACTCGCTAAACGCATAAAACTTTTCGGGGTAGGTGAAAGATGAACACGAAGAAACTTGAGCACGGAAAGATGAGCACGGGAAAGTTGAGCACTAGGAAATATGGGCACGAGGAAAGTTGAACAGGAGGAAACTTGAGCACGAGAAAGTTGAGCACTAGGAAACATGAGCGCAAATTTATAGTTTATCCATTAAATTTTTTGTATCATAAACAGTTGAAAAAATTTAAGAGAAAGTTAATTTAATCAATTTATTTAATATACTGTTGTCGAAAAGTCATCAATATAGGAATTTTAATA